CTTGGTAGTCCAGGCTGGCCTCGAACTCACAGAGATCCACCTGGCTCTGCCTCCCGAGTGCTGGGATTAAAGGCGTGCGCCACCACCGCCCGGCAGTTTCCAGCTTTTAAAGTCAGAAAAAGGAGCATGTGTGTATGGAGGTTATTTCAGTTGTTTACAATATTTGGGCTTACTTAAGGATTGCAAATTTGGCAAATAATAATCTGTTTCACCTAAATTGTGATAACTTTTGGTGCTGTGGAACATAAAATATATTTCAGTGAGTAGCATAGAGAGCTTTTATGAGGCAGCTAAGGGTGGGGAAAAATCATAGGCTTGGTTTGTGAGATTCCTTGCTATTTCAGTGTTCCAGAGACAGAATTCCAAGCTCTGTGAAATTAGAGGATGGGAGAATAGTATGTTTTCATTTGTATTGACTTTATGCAGGCTCTCACTTTTTTTTTTTTCTTCCCTTTTTTCTTTTTCTGAGATGAAGTTTCTCTGTGTAACAGACCTATCTGTCCTAGAACTCGCTTTGTAGACCAGGCTGGCCTTGAATTCACAGAGATCCACCTGCCTCTGCCTCCTGAGTGCTGGGATTAAAGGCGTGCGCCACCACTGCCTGGCTTTTTCTTGTTCTCTTTTTTTTCTTTTTTTTAAGGCAGGCTTTCACTTTTAAAAAATTCAGTATGTGATGGTAAGACAAGCCATAACAGTCCCAGTGAAAATTGCAGACATTTTCATAGCACATTTCTCTTAATATCTTAGAATATTCTTCCCTCGTAATTTCTTCAAACTTCCTAGGTCCTAGAACTGACACTAGATCTTAGGAAGGCAGTACGTAGCCTGTACAAAGCTGCACATACCTTACTTACTGTCTTGAAATTTTCTTTCTCTGTTTTTTTTTTGGCAAGTGAAATTTATTTTATGATGCATACTTTATGGTTCTTTTGGTAAAACACAATGTTTTTCATTTTTAAGTTATAGATTTAAGTTAGATGTTTGTTTCAGTTATTATGACCCCTTCAACAACAACTCAGCAGTGAGATTAACTTCCTATAAAGAAATTTGTATTTTCTTGCTAAAACATTTGCTACTTCCCAATATTATGGACAATGAATATAATATAATATAATATAATATAATATAATATAATATAATATAATATATATAAACTAAGACTATGTCTTTAATATTTTTCAGAAAGTTAATCTTACTGATTGTTTTTAGATGTGTATATCATAGTGTTATGTGCATTGTATGTGTTTTTATAGTGAAGTTACAGGATTTTGCCACCTATCCTCTATTAAACAATAAGCTTATGTTTACTCCTGCATTGAATCTAAAGCTTCCTTTCTTTTATAATTTTAGGGAACCTTAAGTAAGTCAGAATGGGAAGCTACAAGTGAGTATATCATCCAGCTAACTGACAATTTCAGTGATTCTATTTTAAGGGAATCATTGAGACTTGAAAATGTTAGAGTTTTTCTGATATATTTTGTGCTTATGCTGATCATTAAAACACCTATCTCCCACATATTTTTATATATGTAAAATCTCCACTTGTACATCTGCACAATGACGAAAGAAAGTATCTGTAGGCTGTTATTCAACATACATTCATGAACATACATAAATATTTTCATTCCATGTTTGTTAATAAGGAGCTGCCTCTGTCTTCACCTCAGGATCCTGTTGAATTCCTTGGCTATAGGATACTCCCATGGATATTACTTTATTTGGCCATTCATATGCTGACAGTAAAAGGAGTCTGTAGAACACTTAAGCAAAGAAGAGTGAGCAGGGGAAACAGATGGTATACAGACACATCCTGACACGAGACTGGTGTCTTCAGAGGCTAATCCACACTTGTGGCAGATATCGTACAGAGTCCTGGACTTCTGCAGCAGAGTGATGTGAAGGATTTCCATTTGTTTGCAGATCCTTAATGTTAAGATAGAAGGATCCTAATCTTTTACACGGATGTGTTGGGAACTTGAGCACAGTTCCTGCTGTCCGTTTAAATGTTTATTGATTATGTTGACGGCAAAAGTAGTAATCAGAGACACTATTTAATAACATTGAATGTTGACTTACAGAATTATATGAAAGGACTTCGGGGGATTAAAATGCAACCATGTCTACCTTCTAGAGTTTAGTCGAAGAAACAAACACAAATAAATATGGCCAGACAATTTAAATGCTGAAGAGGGGAAGGTAGATGGAGAGTTTAAAGGTAGATTATCAAACCAGCAAAATCTGAGAAGTACTAATACTGATTACTATTGAGTGTTCAGTAGTATCTGATGCTGCTCTAAACGTGTCATCTGTTGTAATTCACGTAATCTCCACAAACATAGGAGTTGACTATTTATTATGGCATCACAGGAGATGCAGTTTAAGGCTTGGGCTAAGTGACAGAACTAATCTGCTTGACTGAGTTCCCATTCTCTTAATCATAACCTCATAGAAGTCCTTACTGTGAGCAAGACTTTCAGAAATTGAGTTTCAGATTGTGTATCTGAAATCCGATTCTAGCGTTCTTAGTGGTGTTAAATGGCTAAGAAGATTTTTGTTTTGAAATATACTTAGGTGATTCTATATCTACTCCAAAACCACTCAAATAATAGACCTCAGAGAATGAATGATGTTTTTCTTTCTCAATGCTGCTTGAGAACATTTTCCCTGATGAGATGAGTAACTAAACTCTGACTTCTCTTATTTCTTCTTTAGGTATCTACTTGGTTTTTGCCTTTGAGAAACAGCAGTAAGCACTTAGTTGCCTCAGAACAGCACTCCATCCCTACAGATGGAGCAAACCATCTCAGATACATGTGACAGCTGTTTGTTTATTTGAATAGTAAGTTCTAAATGTGGAGGATGCTGCCAGAAAGTCCATTGTGTAATTGACATTTACTGCTGTGACAGGTTAGCAGTGTGTGTGTGTTTGTGTGTGTGCGCGCGCGCATGTATATAAGAATGCTTCATCTTTAAGATCTATTTTTAAGTGATATTCTAAGAATTGTTTCCCTCTACTTCGAAAACGATAACAGAGCACTTCAGAGCAGCTGACCTCTCCACAGTGCTGTGATTTGCTGAGTGTGTTTACAGAGTTGAATTTACAACAGCTGTAGAATTGGCAAAGGAGTGCTAGTTCGCCACCGTGCACTCGAAGTTTTGTTACAGTGTTTTTCCAGATGTGTTCTATACATTTGAATGTAAGTCTTCACTATATATTGCTAAAGTTATAAGATTAAAATTGGATTTAACCTGGCTAGATTTTGTGTTTCAATAAAGTAACTATTTGCTAATACCATGAAATTCTGAGAATCTATAGAAAATTTTAGATGGCAGCATAGAGAAATTGTGGAATGGTTTGGTATTCTGTTAAGAATTTCCTATCATAGCAATTAATATATCCAACTATTGAGATTTAATTGAGGTACTTTGAACTTTCTTCATTGGACAATGATTCCATGGTTCGCTTTTCCTAAGCTTTTGTGAAAATGCCATGTCATAATCCTGTTCCATATTTTCTTTACATGTATATATGCAAGCGCAACAGGAGTAGCGCAGTAAGGGAAACAGGTAGACTGGAGATGGATCCTCACCACTGAGAGATCCCAGTTACTAATGCTGTTTCCTTCCCAGCCCATGTTCTTTTCTTCCAGCGTTGATACTTGACACAGCAGAACCCACTGTCTAATCGTCATTAAAACATGCATTTGTTGAGGCATTAATGGTATAGAGGTTGGCATGGCTGCCTTCCAAATATTTATTTGCTCTCTCACAATCATTAAAATTGTCATTAAGTTGTGAGTTATAGAATTGACTTCTAGAACTGATGCCTGTGTGAACTGCTGTCTTACATTTAAGAAACTTGACAGCATTTAGATGCATCAAAAAACTTGAGAGCAAATACAATTATATATTCTTTTAAAATTCATTTATTTAAAGGACAATTTACAAAGATCCTGCTTTCTGTAACACTCTATAGTACTTGCTTTAAAAGTAGGCTCGGGGCTGGAGAGATGGCTCAGCAGTTAAGAGTGCTGGCTGCTCTTACAGAAGACCCAGATTCAGTTGCCAGCACCCACATGGTAGCTTATAACTGTCTCTGACTCCAGTTTCTGGGGATCTGACACCATCTTTTGGTCTCCATGGGCACCAGGCATGCACATAGTGTGTGTGTGTATGTGTGTGTGTGTGTGTAGATATATACACACATATATATACACATACATGCAGGCAGAACACTCATGCATACAAAATAAAAATAATTATTTAAAAAATTGAAAGCATAATCAGTTTATACATTGTCACTGCTCATAGTATTAGAGAGTAGCTTTAGTGCAGGGTTTGGGGTGTGGGGATGAAAGTTGTTGCTCTTAGAAATTTAGGCTCATTTTATTTCTGGGGAAGGTACTAAGTATTTGAATGGTTTGGCAGGTAGGGAAAGCTTTGTCACAATTCATGATCTCAGTTAATAGATAATGCATCAATTTTTAGTCTTTCTGTCCTTTCCATTCCATTCCATGGGTTGTTTTTAGGAGAGAAGAATTCCTCAAAGGGTGGAGTAATTGATGGCTGTCCAATCAACAAGAAGAGAAATGTGGAGTTCCTAGGCCCTTTGCTGAGGAGTCATAAGGAACTGGACTGGGTCTGAGATGGGCTGTAGTTATTACACCTACTGTCATAGGCATAGGAGAGTTCCCATGAGGCCACCCTGCAGGAAACAGGTCAAGCAGCTGCCTTTTTCCTTTTGTGTTCTTATCTGTTCAGCTTCCACCCCTACACTACTCCTTGCTGAAGTTAAATGACTCAAGATGAATTCTTGAGGACGAGAATGGGAAGGTGGCCTTTTCCACTGTATCAACAGATGAGGCTTTTTCCAGCATACTGGAGTCTACATGTTTAATTTTGTCAGGACTTGTAGTGTCTGATGAGAAAGTCGTGGCTTCATTACAGGATCCAGGAAGAGTCCCTTGTTTTGGGTTCAGTGATAAGAATGGTTCTGAGGAGCTGTTCAGACACTCCCAGGCCTGCCACACAGGGTATCCTCCAAGGTTGAGTTCAAAATGAAGATCAGGGGCTGGAAACATGGCTCAGAGGCTAAGAATGCTTGCTACTCTTTCAGAGGACTGGAGTTTGGTTCCTAGCACACACATCAGGTGGTTCACAACTGCTTGTAATTCCAGCTGCAGGGACTTCAACACTCTCTTCTGGGTTCTGCTGGCACCTGCACACATGAACAAGCATGCAGACACATAAATAAAAATAAATCTGTAGAAATGAAGACCACGTGGGCCATTTGTGAGAATGACACAACTTGAACTGGAGATAGTTGGCTCGGGGACAAATCTGCATTGTAGTAGGACCTAAAAAGCTGACATGGAATTATTTGGGTCTAGAATTTACTCAGGGAAACACTCCAGTGTATACAGTGTTGATGGAGAGAAAGTGAGGAGTTGTTGGTCCCTGCCAGTCCTTCTGGTGGCCTAACGTACAGAGAGCCGCAGGCCTGCTGGAGCTGACTCATACACCTTACAGACTGACTCTCCTCAGTATGAGAAGGCTCTGACTGAGCAGAGTCCCTTAAGAGTGATGGGCCTGTGTGGTGACTGAATGGCAGAGGGAGGATACAGATTTTCTCAAGACCACAGCAACATAACACTCCCATCCTGTGGTGGGTCTACACTCCTGCCCTCACATACTTCCAAGAATGGAACACGGGAGTCCTGCGGCCTGAGCTGTTAGTTCTTGAGGCACCTTAACTTAGGTGCTCCAGTCAATAGGGTGTCCTGGTAGGAAACAGAGATAGATATCCTCTTCATGGTATGGAGACCTGGTCCTTGAACCAGCCTTGTGGGATCTGGTTATGCACTACAGGTGATGGTGTTTCCCCAACCTTACTCTGGATGTATCAGTGCAAGATACAGAAATGCTGCTTTAGTAGGAGTTAAGTAGGCAGGCCTAATTTTATGGATTTGCTGGTTTAAACTCTATTGAAGTATTGTATCTATACAGGCAGTTGGATTCCTCACAGACAGAACATACATGAATTCATAAGCCAGAAGCTGGAGACTCCCTTCTACTCAACTGTCCCCATCCAGTTCTAAGCAAAAATCCAGTTTCATCTGGCTTGGAATATTACATGAATGAAATTAAAAATACATTCTTTGGCTTTCATTTGTCAGTGTTCATGAGATTCTTATTCTCAACAGTTGTAAATTGTTCTCATGATTGTACAGTATTCCATTGTGTGAATAAACAACATTATCCAATGGTATTTTGGTTCATTTCTAGCTTGGGAACTGTACTACCACAGTTATTTAGCAAATGAGTTTTTGTGCACATAGCTATATATTTCCTACTAGGAATAAGATTGCAGGACCATAGTACATGCACCATATATTTATTGACAGCCACCCAGAAGCTTTCCAGAGTTTCCTACATTCTTGATAATATCAGCTATAATTTGAATGAGAATGGAGGCTCAAATATAGATTTGAATACTTAGACTGTAGTTAGTGGAACTGTTTGGAAAGAGTTAAAGGTGTGGTCTTGGAGGAGGTGTGTCACTAAGGAAAACACCCAAATGAATAGAGGTAATGAGGTGTTGCAAGAGACACCAGTGAAGTCCAGAGGGTTGTAAGGACACACTTCAAAACCCAGAATCGACTAAGTTGGAAAAGCTAAAAGAATGAATTTCTTAATGCATCTGACCTACCAAAGTTAAACCAAGAAGAGATTTAGAAAAATGACATTGAAATGTCATTTTAAAACCTCCCATCCAAAACCAACAAGCAAAGAAATTCAAGCCCAGATGGATTTCCCACAGGACTTCACTGGATATTCAAAGAACTCACACCGATGTTTGTCAAACTAGTCCGTAAGACAAAACAGGAATGATACCTCCAAATTCTTTTTATGAATCCAGAATGACACAGATGCCTAGACTAGATGAGCACACATACAGAAGAAGAAAATTCTAGAACAAGCTAACTCCTTCATGAACATAGATGCAAAAATTCTCAATAGAAGATGTGTGAACCAAATTTTAGAACACATCCAAAAGATCGGCTACCGTGATAAATGAGCTTCATCCCAGAGTTTACTGTGAGCGAGCCACCCCAATTAGATGTTTCCTTTATAAGAGTTGCCATGGTTATGGTGTCTTTTCACAGCAGTAGAAAACCCAACTAGGACGGATCTCAATGTAAGACTTGATAACTTGAATCTGTTAGAGGAGAAAGGAGGGAATATGGGCGTGTGCATAGGACTATAGCAGGAATTAAGACCTAACAGTTGACAAATGAGACCTTAGGAGACTGAAAGACTTCTGTACAGTAAGGAACCCTATCAACTGAGTGAAGAGGCAGCTTACAGAACGGGGAAAAATAAACGAGCTCCAATTTGACAGAGGGGCAGTATCTATACAATGAACTCAAAAAACTAAACACTAAGAAAACAGACAACTCTTTTCTCAGAAGAAATACGAGTGGTTAAGAATTTCTTAAAATAGCTGTGCGGTGGTGGCGCACGCCTTTAATCCCAGCCCTTGAGAGGCAGAGGCAGGCGGATCTCTGTGAGTTTGAGGCCAGCCTGGTCTCCAAAGTGAGTTCCAGGAAAGGCGCAAAGCTACACAGAGAAACCCTGTCTCAGAAAACCAAGAATTTCTAAAAATAATCAACATCCTTAGCTGTCACAAAAGTGAAAATTAAGACTACCTTGAGATTTTATCTTACCCCAGCCGGAATTGACAAATATTAAAATCAAATCCACAGATGACACCAAGTGCTGGTGTGGATATGAGGTAAGGGGAATACTTATTCACTGTTGGGAGTGAAAGCTGCTGCAGCCACTGTGGAAATCAGTATGGGTGTCTCCCCAACACTAGAAGTAGATCTATTATGTGACCCAGTAGTACTCCTGGGTATATACCTGACTATAGAGAGATGTTTACTCATCACTGGTGCTGTTCTATTTACAATAGCCAGGAAATGAGCATATCCCAGATGTCCATCAACTAGTGCATGGATAATGAAAATGTGATATATATGTACAATGGAATTTTATTCAGCTTTAATGAAAAATGAAACAAAATTTGCAGGTAAATGGATGGAGCTGGGAACAATCATTCTGAGTGAGGTAATTCAGATTCAGAAAGACAAATACTGCATGTACTTTTTCATATGTGGATCTAGCTTCTTTAGATGTGTGTGCTTAGATCAGAGTGGCTGTGTAAGTCAGGAAGCTAGAGTATGGGATTTCAAGAGAAAGAGATGGTAGAACACAGGTAACATAAAGAAGGAA